CTAGACATATACACATACATGTTAGTCTTCCATTTCCTCCCCAGGCCAAAATACACTAACTAGTACTTAAATATATCGCCAAACCAATTTCTGAAGTAGGTACTAACCATTGCCTGTTTAAACACGGACAAAAAGGCAAGTTACTTTTTCGTAAGATCATTTCTTACTGAACTTCAGCAAATAACTTGCTTACAGTATGACTGGATGGAAGGTGGAAAAGATGGAAAAGCTTTAGAAATCTTCTTCTGCAGATTATTTGCATGTGAAATTGTCGTTACATGTACAATGTACTATATTTTAATTTATGATGACTTATTGCATTTTATCGTTAATCTGCTGTAAAATTTCAACACAATTCAGGAGTTTCTCCTGCCATGTTGTTTTTATTAAATAAAGTTCAAAGTTCCAAAAAAGACAAAACCCAGAATTTCTCATACATTATACATTTATTTCTGTAACATGTAATAAAATGGATCCGTATAACGTCTCGTTTAATACATGTAACACAACGATGATAATGATAACATTTGTCGTCTTGTTTAACAAGAAACTTCTAACGCATGTTCCTCTTCAATGTGGGGCATCCTAGTAGTAGTAGTACCTCCCTGTTCTTTATACTTTGCTTTGGACAGCCACGGTCTAAATATCATATCCGACGGCCAAAAGTTCTCTTGCAGAACAATGTTGGCCTGTTCGATAGCGACGTTCACTCTAGCAAAGACGACGCCTTGTCTTTCGTTCTTCATCATTCGCACGTAGGTTAGCTCCACTCCCTTTTCTCTAGCGTGGCTGTAGATAGCTTCTTTGATGTCGTTTAGCGAGTCTGAGGTCTTCATGTATCCGAGAAAGAAGCGACGGACTCGCCGTCTTTTTCCCTCTGGAGGTGCGTTCTGATGGCTTTTCGTTGTGACGTTACGGTTCCGATCTGATTCTACAGGGTTTTCTGGAGGGCGGTTGCCTCTGTTCTCCTTGTTGTTGGTTTCTTGGCCAAGTTTTGTAACGTTACTCGACGTTGAACCATCTAAACCAGGCGAATTCGTTCGCGAGAGAGACTTAGTCCAGCTAGTACTCGTGTCGGGTCTGCTTTTCAACCTAAAACTACTTTCTGGATTCACTTTGCCACTTGAAACAGCAAATTTGCTGCTCTGATTCACTGTCGTTCTACTACTACTACTACTGCTGTGTCTCTCGGTTTTCTTGTTACCTATGTTGTCACCGAATCTAGTTTTCTGACTTGCAAAGGAATGCTTGGAGTTACCCGTTTGGTATTTGTGTTTATAATGATTTTGGGGGCGGGTGTTGTTGGCACCACCTGTAGCTTTGTTAAAAGACTGGTACAGCTCCTCTGGTGGCGGGAACATCAGGTATTGGGGGTTCACGGTCCTGAGGACATTTTGTCGTCCGTTTTCCGCCTCGAAGTTCTCGTAAACGTAACAGTTCCCTGACCTGGCGTCGCGCGGCTCTATGGCAACTGTGTTGTAGTGCGGTGCGCAGGCGCTGTAGGTCGGGAAGCTGCCGCAAAATGGGCCGTCTTTACTGCCGTAATCGCGGCGGTTGTCGTAAAGCGGAGTGTCCTTGTCGTAATACAGACTGGGGTTGTGACCATGACCATGAGTTAGGACGAAGGCGTACGTGGGTTTGTAGCGACCCAGGCGAGCCGGGACGTAGTTGTCCCAGTCAAAGTCGTCCAGGTTACCTGCAAAATCCAAAGGCATATATAACGTTATGTAGTGATTCTTTGTGAGGGGAACATCGTACCCCCAAAGAAAATCCGACAAAATAGAAAGCCCGACAAAACGTCTAATAGAAAGTGATCCCAGCCTTTTCTCCTCCCTTCTTCCCGACATATCGTCACATCCATTGCGAGTTTGGATTACGACTTTGTCTTCAGTGTGAGAGTAACAGGCACGGAACAAGTTACCATTAGAGACTGTAAATCAGTCGACCATCATCAGATTCACGGAGCAGCACTGACGAATACGTAAGGACTACGATGGACATAGGAGATACAAAAGGCTAGCCGCCCACTTGCTCCTAATTGCACAGACGTAAGTCTCTGCAATTCAGCTAAATTCAGGTAAATTCTTGTATATATTGTTACATTTGTACCCAGTGCCACTCTGAAAACAAGTGCTAAGTGACTGAGTGGTGCCGTGCTACTCTGGTTAAAGAACACAGAAATAGATATATAAATGAATATTACCTTCATCCTGGCAGTACCACTGAGGTTCGCCTGGCGTCGCTGTCGCCCCGCCCACCTCGGAGATCAGGTACGACTTCAGCGGGAGCGCTCGGGTGACGGGGTCAACGTCCTCGTCTTCACTGTGATGGGCAAACATAGGACGTTTCAATGGTTCTGTATCGGTGCAGTCGGTAAAACTACCACCAGCCTCACAGGCATGTGGCACAGTGGCAGCTGGCTATGTTACATTGACACCTAACCTTCGCACATCTATTAAACTGCAATCGTTATTTAACTATAAGCTAGTGAGGATATTATATTACACAGAACGACCTGCCACAACTAACCTTCTCACATCATAGTAACTGCAGGCATTGTTTAGAGCTCTCTAGTGAAGATGACCCAGTGCCCCACACTTTCCGGAGTGTTTAGCAATTAGAGGAGAGGGCCTCGATATGTAAGTATACTTTTTGCCCAATCCTCCTAAAAGTGTGATTAAAATAAGATACATGTAACTTTTCCAATTTCTTAAAGTTTGCTGTGGAGGATCCTGGGTTCCAAAACAGAACATCCTGGAGGGACATGGCTACAGCCGCTATGCATCTACTCTGATGCCTGCGGATTGATTGATTGATTGATTGATTGATTGATTGATTGATTGATTGATTGATTGATTGATTGATTGATTGATTGATTGATTGATTGATTGATGATGATGGAAGTGTGAATCTTTTCCTGACCTGCTGCTCTGTTCCCCCTCCTCCTCCTCCTGCCATCTCCGCGGCCCGGCCGGGTTGATGACGTAGATCCCGGACAGGTCCACTCCCTTCTCGGGGAGGCACGGGAAGAAGCAGTCCCATCCCAGGTCGTCAAACGTCACTAGAAAAAATATTTCTTTTGTAGCTTTGTCTGACATGAAATCTTAACTTGCATTGTTTGTAAATATCTATAGCCACCTATATTATACAACTGCGTCTATTTTAGAACGACAATATTTTAGCCACTGCAACTGTTTTTATCTAATTGTGATTTTTAGTACATGTAAATTCGATTTTAATTCAGTGTTATACACACTGCGAAAACGAATAAAGTCATCTTGTATCTTGTATTGGAAACATTGTGAATGTGTTTCAATCACGGAAAAGGTGTTAAAAATCGCTAAAGACCGTACATATTTAATGTTTGATAAAAGTAAACATGAAATATGAAGAAGCAGTCCCATCCCAGGTCGTCAAACGTCACTGGAAAAAAAATAGGAAACATTGCCAATAAATGGGAACCGTTTTTAAAATCGTAAGCAAGGTGGGAGAAGTACTGATTGTGTGTACGAAAATTCCAATATCCAATATCCAATGTATGTACAGTCTCATCCCAGGTATTCAAACGTCACTGCAGAAAAGTAGGAAACATTCTTTAAGTGTTTCAATTACTGGAACCTTAGTTAGAATCGTATTAAAGACCGCACATATTCAATGTTTGATAAAAGTAAACATGAAACATGCAGAAGCAGTCCCATCCCAGGTCGTCAAACGTCACTGCAAGAATATAACGTTAATAATGCTAACTATATTGCTCAACAGTTGTACAGGGTACAAAGTATGGCATCTACTAGTGCAAAAAGTACATTTTATATGAAAGTTTATTGCAAGCTCTTGCCCGTAGGCTAATTGCAAGTACATGTAACATGAGGATAGGCATTGGAAGGATGGACATTGGAAGACGAATGATCCTACTTTACTTTTTCTATAATATGTTTTCTACATAAAACTATTCTAAACGTGCCTCAATCAGCGAAGTCGTTGGAAAATGTTGCTTCCGTTTTCCTGACCGACCCTTTTCAACCTTCATTTAAACTTAAAAACGTACAAAAGTACACTCTTTGGCCTTGGCCTCTTTTTAAGAGTTCAAGGGGGAACACGAACGGTAAACACGGTTTCTTTGGATATCCAATTGGTTAATGGAAACTCCGCGAGGCCAACAATTAGGCCTTCTCTGACCGGGTTTCAAAGTCACTTAATTCTGAGCAGTTTGTACTTGTTATTCAGCCTTGACACGAGCCAAAAGTGGCCATTATAACTTGGCCGCGCCGCTGCTCATTTTCGTCCTGGTCAGGAATGTCGAGTTTTCGTGGCACCAGTATATTTCCGAAGGTTTCAGGTTCGTGCACCGCGCTACACGTGCTTGACAAGTCGTTTCATGACCAACCAGGCCTTTTTACACATAGAAAAATATAAACACGGGCGTAAGACAGGTAATTATGTCCTCGTGCATTTAATTCGGTTTTTATACAATCCGTCGTTTTCGTACATTTGGCCCTGCCTGCCTTTGAACATATATTTACAATCTTGAACATCAAATATGCCTGTGCATAAATTACTAGTAATCACTAAATCAGCACTGCTGCATGTGTCGTACTTGCTTGCAAAGTGAAGCACAAACAAACAAAGAAACACACACACACACACACACACACACACACACACACACACATACATTAATATATACATGTACTACATACATGCACACACACAAACTGCGAATTGAACACACATACACAGCAACTGGGAAACACAAAAGCAAACTGGGAAAGAACACACACACGCAAACTTGTGAAGAACACACACAAACAAACTCATTGGAGAGAACATACGTACACACGCACAACTTATAGGGTGCGATCTACCAACAAGCCTTGAACCACCCTAACCCGACACCCGACTGAGCGCAAACACAAGCACAGTCCTGTTGACAGGAGGTTTAACGCCTGACCCGGGAAATGTCACTACAAGTTCCCGAGCATCACGACTGTCTCTCTGTAAATAAACTCTGTCACGGAAAAGACAGGCGCTACAGACAGTTACAAAGTAGCTTTTATACTGACAAAAAAAGCGACGACGACAAAAACGGGCAGACAACAGAACTACTAGTGTTATAGTTTAATGTCAACCCTGGATAGCGTGTTTCTTGAATATCAAACTTGGGAAAAATTAACATACTTATAGAATGGTCTTTTTTGTAATTCATGCGTTGACGTTGATAAAATATATGGCTTTCTGTCTACATTTATGTATTTTGAACTCTCCAAGAAGAAGTTGCCTAGGAAGATTAACCTCCATAGCTTGCCAAAAACTGGGGGCTTTGGGGGTCTTCAGGGTCTTTGGGATCTTTCATGTGCTATTTTCTGATTGCATATAGACAGCATAGCCGGCCTGGTTGAATTAATAGAACTGGGTTAATCAGAAAACAGCCGAAATCCACCAAACCCCCAGTTCTATAAGTATAAGCCTGCTATGGAGGCTAAGGAAGATTATGACTTCTTCTTTGTAACAAGTTAACGTTTTCTGACAGCCGGCCAAGTGGATAGTGTCTTGCCCGGGTTGGTTACAAAGTTGTCACCGAAAGATCTGCTTGGAGTTTTCTATTTTTAGCCAATCGCCACGCTGTATCCACAGACACACACACACAGAGGGCCGCTAGCCGGCTTAGAGGGACACACTGTGACAATGTCACGTCCTGAGCGATATTTGCAAACCCCGAGAATTCACGGCCCGGCCTTACACAGCGATCATTCAGTCACGCTCATGAATTAAAGAAGACGCGACCGGCGAGGGGTGAGAAGGCAGGCATTCCTGCATTCGTGCAGGCTTATATTAAAGTTATAGAACTGGGGGTTTGGTGGTCTTCGGCTGTTTTCTGATTAGCCCAGTCAACAAACGGGGGTAATTCAACCATGTTGTCTATATGCAATCAGAAAATAGCACATAAAAGCTCCCAAAGACCCTGAAGACTTTTGGCATGCTATGGAGGCTAAGACATTCCTGCATTCGTGCCATGTGTTTACAGACCGAAACAATTTCCCTCTGGGTACAGCACTTAAAAAATGCCACCCAAACTCGGACAGGTAACAAAATTGTCTAACCCGAAAGACTCCAGTCTCTGGCCCTTTTTACCATGATACGCCCTGTGCCATTGTGTTAAGTTGATCAAACCCGATTTGTCTTTTCGCCTTTGTGGTAAATGTCAAAGCAAATAACGAAAGACAGAATACAAATCTTCCTTGTAGACGCCCGGGTCAAATTGCCCGACCCAAGAGTTCTCATCTTCCACCCAAATAAACGTCTTCAAAACTCACGTTTGCTAAAGTCTCGAACATTACCTCTCCCGAACCCCGTGATTTTCCACTATTACCGTCGGCACGGTGCCTCTAGTTAAGGGCTGCGGTATAAATAGGCTGTAACTAAGGGGCCTTGTATGTACATATGGACCAAGTCAGTCGACTCCAAAACCGTCCCACGCTTTAAGCAGCAACACACACACAACCGGTCAAAAATTCAGCCTCCTACCTTCAGAGCAGTCGCTGTCGTCCATACCATGCTACAGTACAGAGATAGAGTTATACACGGTCACATTCCTGACTCGGAGTTCTAGGTGACATGTTGCACGTACGGAGTGCAGAGTTGGCGGGAACGGCCCAGCTGACTAGACTGGCTGGCAAGACTCGGTCTAAAGTTCTAGGCGCTGCCGAGCTGTCATTATGTCAACAGTCAGGCCCGGCAAACAGGGGCACAGGGTAGCGCGGGCCGGGACAAGTCTGTCTCCTGTTTCGTGGCCACAGAATTTCTCCGTCCTTTTTTGCAAACAGTTTGCGGAAGTTTATTGCAAATACATGCCCGGTGGTTAATTGTAAATACAAACAGCATGTATGAAACAGAAGATACAATGATATGAGAGACTATTATAGCTATATACAAAGTTATACGACATTTGACAACATGTACGTAGTACTGTAATAGTTTTGTTGGGTTTGACTTCTTTTGAAGCAGTGGGAGACGAATTTGCCCACTTTGTCTGTGATATGTGGATTCTTTGGTTTTAGTAGTAAAATTGTTTTCTCTTGGTGAGGGATAGTGGGGAAGTAAGGATGCCGATTTCATTTGGACACGGTGGTGAATGAGATTGGTTTCTGATCTCATTATCATCAACATTTTGTGTAACGTTACAACAATATGATCAACAATGAATACTACATTAAACTTACAGCTGTCATAAGATTAAGAAGAGAGAAGTTGAACCTGTACAGAAAATAGTATACATAGGCCATTGTACATGTATTAAGATACCAAACTCTTATATCACTTTACTTTGCCGTATATCACTTTACTTCTACTTCTTCTTAATCGTGCCGAGAACTGCTTTGTCGCCATGACAGGTATGCACGTAGCGTGTGAGAGCATAAACCTACAATAAAGGTCTTCTCTTCATTCGTTACATCTGCAAATAATAGCAGTACGGTTGAAAAAGAATATCAGTGAAGTTTCTCCAAACAAATGCCTGCGGTGTGATCGTCATTCTGTGACAATTCTGAATTATCACAAACAGAAAAGTACAGCTCTTCCGACATAAATTTTGACTACCCCTTAGTTACATGATGAGGTTCCTTATTGACTCAACAAAGAAGTACAGGGACTTTTGTGTGGTCTTTACAGCTATCAAAGATCTAACAGAGCTAAATATGTGTGACTAAAGTCATCCTACGTACAGAATATGTGTCAGCGGCAACATGCAATGATGCTGTAAATGCTGTTTTATTTAGTCTTTACTAGACTTCTTTTGCAGGCTGAATAAATCTCAGAAATCGGCCTAAAAAGGGTATTAATTGACCAGAAATTGGCCTGCAAGTCTGGTGGAGACTATGTTTTATTCGTGATCGACAACAAATTTATCGAAAATGCTGCCCATGCATGTTTTCAATATTTTCCCGAGTCGGAAGTCGACTGTTGACGGCAAACAGACGATCTAATTGCTGCAGATATTCCGCCAGTTTTAATTCGGCGGTCCAACAGGACCAACGAGTTTGTGAGGAAGTGGCGCGTGCCAGGGGGAATTCATACACAAAAGGCTGAAACGAACGATCCAGTTTCTGGGTAGCCCCCACCAGGCTAGCCAAAAATTGGGGGTTTTGAGGTTCTTCATGGTCTTTGGGATCTTTCATCTGCTATTTTCTGATTGCATATAGACAACATAGTCGGCCTGGTTGAATTACCCCCGTTTAAACTGGGCTAATCAGAAAACAGCAGAAGACCACCAAACCCTCAGTTCTATATTAAAGCCTGCGACGGAGGCTAGAATTTATACACAAAAGCTGAAACAAACGATCCAGTTTCTGTATAACCCCCACCAGGCCCTCCTAAGAGTTATGGCAATTGTGTAACAGTGGGGGGTTTATAGGCGTTACCAACTGACCCGGCCGATGGGTCTAGACCTTTTTGGCCGAGCGGTTAGAGCGTCTGGTTATGACGCTAGTGCTCGGGAGGTCGTGAGTTCGAACTCCGGCCCGGGACCAGAAGGGTTTTTTATCTGTTTCTACTGGCTCCTCCTGTTTCTTTAACAGTGGTTCCCACAGTGGTTATGGTTCCCACACCGGCCCTGTGAGTTCTGGCAAACACTAGACATAGACCTTTTCGGCCGAGCGGTTAGAGCGTTTGGTTATGACGCTAGTGCTCGGGAGGTCGTGAGTTCGAACCCCGGCCCGGGACCAGAAGGGTTTTTTATCTGTTTCTACTGGCTCCTCCTGTTTCTTACAGTGGTTCCCACACAGTTTCTTACAGTGGTTCCCACAGTGGTTCCCACACCGGCCCTGGGAGTTCTGGCAAAAACTAGACCTAGACCTTTTCGGCCGAGCGGTTAGAGAGTCGGACTGGTGCCCGGGAGGTCGTGGGTTCGAACCCCGGCCCGGGACCAGTGGGTTTTTGTCTGTTTCTACTGCTCGCCTCCTGTTTCTTACAATTGGTCAGGGGTATAAAGGGTAACATGTGGTGGCCTAGCCTCCTGTGCAGACAAGTTTTGCTAGGAAGTGACGCGTGCCACAGGGAATACCCGTGACACAAAGGCTGAAGCGAACGATCCACTTTTTTTTTCATCAAAACATAACAAGGACACTGTGACGCTGCACTCAAGTTTACAACTTATATTAACAGCGCCACACAACAATAAAGTACAATTAACATTCAAATATACAACGTTGGCATATCTGTGTGCCGTAGTCCCACCACCCCAAGACATTATTTAAAATGTTAAATCAAATTAAATGCTAAAACGATCCACTTTCTGGGTGTCTGTTCTATCCAGAGCCATTCTAGCCTGGGTACCAAAGCAAACCTTTGGTCGCCTTGGGGTGATTTTCCTACCACATGTAATCTCCAAGCAGATCCCTTTCGGTTGTAAAAAGACAGTATCAAATTGGCCAGACAATATCCATTAGCCAGAGAAGGTCCGCAGCCACCGACGGGTGGGGGTAGCGACAAAAAAGCGGCCATAAAGAAAAAGGTAACGATCATTCCCCCACAACCTCTGCTTGGAGAGTAACCCCATGTACCCCGGCCTTTACTAGGCAAAGGCGATCTAGTACTAGTATCTCCAGCTGGTTTCTATTTATCCGCTGGCTTCCTGTATTACGCCGAGTCTTCTATTGCACGCCGACCTAGCCGCGAATTGGCCGAAAAAAAGGGATAGTATACCAGAAGATCCCGGGCCATAGAAGATCCAATTCGCGACCCACGCGGAGACTAGTACGAACCATGGCGGATCCTAGCCCTGACCCATTCAGGCATATAGAACTGGTTAGGCACGGTTCTGACTATAGTGGCAGGCCTAGGGCAGCCTAGCTGTAGGTGGTACATTGTGTGCCCTCTAGCCAGCTGACTCCTCTATTATATTCCTCTATGGTACAGTATTTTAATACTTAAAAGTCTCTTTGGTCAATTTCTATTATTTTTCCATCAGCCTATGGAGCCTGGTAGAGGCTAAGGGCTCCTTCCTTCTCTGTTTCAGGTGTATTGCACTGCCAGAATGTATACTCTCTGGAAACTTCGCCGCAGGTGACTTGACTTTGACTTTATTAGGATCCACAGCATCTATATACATCATTACAAGGATTCTATACATCAATACATCATTATTTTGATGACCATCTGATTTGACAACTTCATGTATTAAGCATGAATTTGGCATTTTCCAATAAAACAAGATCCAAAACATTTAGTTTGCTTTCTTCGAGCACGTAACGCGTGTTAACATAATACTAACAGGTCACAAACTTACTTACTTGTACTTGTACAGGTCACAAACACCCACCCTGAAAAAAAACGCGCCTGTCAGTAAAATGCACTAGCCCTGCTTGATGTGCACAGTATCATCTCTTGATGTTCAGTAATTATGTTGTTAATTTTCATTCTATGCCCTTTCTTTTTGTACTATGTTCAGTAGTTGTCATACGTAGTACTTTGTACAATTGTCGTGCAATAAAGTTCTTCTTCTGTGTAATCTCCTCCGTGTTACATACTAGTAGTAGCATGTTCACTGTGTTCTTCTTCTACAGTAACAGCGACATCTTTCAGTTTTTTTACAGAACTGCAGTTTTTCCCAGCCATTGCTCACGAAAATGCTGGAGATATTGAATTATAGATAAAGCCTTCGGGACATGGCAGAATTGGCTTCCAGCATTTTCTTTGGCTTCTTCGTCGACACGTATAAAATATTTGTTCGCAGTGCAAATATACTTTTCAAATCCAATTAGGATTCACCTTGGCGTTTTATTGCTTTTTTGTCCACGATTCGTTTTTCTGGAGTAAGTGGATTTGTATTATCCACCCTTCAATTAGCCTCCATAGCATGCCAAAAACTGGGGGTTTTGGGGGTCTTGAGGGCCTTCGGGAGCTTTTATGTGCTATTTTCTGACTGCATATAGACATCATAGCCGGCCTGGTTGAATTACCCCCGTTAACTGGGCTAATCAGAAAACAGCCGAAGACCACCAAACCCCCAGTTCTATAAGCCTGCTACGGAGGCTACCTTCAACTTGCTTACGGAATACTAGTATTATTGCGTATTGCATACATCACAATAAATGTTGGACTCCTGACTTCCTGTAGCTTCTATTTTTGAACCCTCCCTGTAAGCGGTGCCGCAGTGACGATACAATATTGGCCGCTGACGTAGTGTTGTTCCTGAATTATTTAGAAACTGGAGACAATTCTGGAAAGTCGTTAATCTTTAAAGATCCATTGGAGATATGAAAAGAAGTGGTATCTAAAGTGAATACAGGCTTGTGCTTTTAAAGAACGGAACAAGAAGCTTCGTTATGTTCACTGTTGTATATGAACATTTCAACAGAAATGGCAGAATTTATCGCAAACTTCTCATTTGCCTGAGCAAGTGGATGAGCAGTGTTCTCGATCAGAAGCGCCTCCTTGCGCCGAGGAACGGGTACTGCATCCTACACCCTCGTGACTTTAGTCACCTGAACCGTGTCGCGGTCTTATATATAAACATTTCAACAGAAATTACAGCTTTTTAAACGATCGCAAAAACCTTGATCTCATTTGCCCACATGTTGCTGAGGAAGAGATCTCGATCAGAAGCGCCGCCTTGCGCCGAGGAACGGGTACTGCACCCACCCTCGTGACGTAAGTCACCTGAACCGCATCTGAGCATCGCTGTCTTATACAAAAATCTCAACAGAAATTACAGAATTTCTTTAAAGATCGCAGAGCTCATTTGCCTACCTGTAGCTGAGCAGTGTTCTCGGTGAGGAGCGCCGCCTGGCGCCGAGGAACGGGTACTGCACCCACTCCGTGACGCAAGTCACCTGAACCGCATCTGAGCATCGCTGTCTTATACAAAAATCTCAACAGAAATTACAGAATTTCTTTAACGGTGCACACCCCAGTTCTTGCGCGACCGGGGTCCGTGATAGTCCGTTGTAAAAAAGTGACGGAAGGGTTTTGAGGGTCCAAGTTTGAGGTGACATTTCTCATAAACTGCCACGAAGTATCATTAAACATTAACATGGCTGAAGAGTGTAAGAAATGGTGATTTTGGGGTGACAATTTCTTTTGGCTCCGAACCTTACTTCCGGGTATCCTTGCGCGCCAAGTGTAATCCGCCCGTTTGACCTAGATTTCGCTCTGCGGCTTCGTAGGGGTGGATTTGCAACCCCTCGCGCCGTGGACTTTTTAGAAAATTACAGTACTAGAATTTTCTTCATAATCTACTCGGGTATAGTCAAGGCTTGGGTCTTTCTGCCAGCATCAGTCATTTCTGCCGGAAAATTTTTTTCTATGGGATTATCCTACGCGAAAATTCGCAATTTGGGGCATTAATTTTGGAGTGAAAATAATGTTTTTTCCGTTGATTTTACCAAACTTAAAAAGGTTGAAGAAACCAAACTCAGCTGGTCTTGTAGCTGAAGAGATATCCTTTCGTCCCATATACAGTTATTCTCCTTCCGAATTATTCCACGCCAGAGACGGTCGCTAGATTTGAGGGTATGCAGCTTCGAATAGAGACGCCAAATAAACTGGGGTGTGCCCCCTTAAAGATCGCAGAGCTCATTTGCCTACCTGTAGCTGAGCAGTGTTCTCGGTGAGGAGCGCCGCCTGGCGCCGAGGAACGGGTACTGCACCCACTCCGTGACGCAAGTCACCTGAACCGTATCTGAGCATCGCTGTCTTATAGAAAAATCTCAACCGAAACGACAAAAAGCTTTTTAAACGATCGCAAGAATCTCAGGCTCATTTGGCCTCATTTGCCTGAGCTCAGACCTCGATCAGAAGCGCCGTCTTGCGCCGAGGAACGGGCACTGCACCCTACTGACACCCTCGTGACGTAAGTCACCTGAACCGTATCTGAGCATCGCGGATCGAAGCACCTGAATAATTCATCGCCCGGGCGCCGCGGGGCCTGCAATTTTCCATCGCTCCCCGCCAACTCAACTCAACTCGCCCAGCCAGTCGGACTACCCCTCAGTGCAGGGCGGTCGCCCGTACGTGTAGAGCGAGCGTTCCTTTCCCAGACTGGCCGTGAAGTGAAACATGGCGCTGCTTCTTCACCTCATCTGCGTAGGTCCCTTCCGGGGACGGGGGGACCGAGTCGCTAAAGTCACCTTCCGAGGTAAGGCACGACACACACACATTCCGCGGAAGTCTGTCCCTCTCAGTCCCAGCCGTTCTTGTCACACCTGTACGTACAGTGTATGTACGCACGTCTCGGCTTGCTTACCACAATTAAGGTGTTGTCTCACCAATAAGTCAGCTGTTACGTGACCTTTTAGACTATCTGTGAGATTCCAGAACGTAGAAATTCTGATATTTAGGGCCTGGTGTGAAATGAGACCCCGGAAGGCTAGGCCGTGTTTCGGCTTACGACGACATTAAGGTGTTGTCTCTCCTCTTAGCGTTGTATTTTCAAGTCAGTCGGTTTCTTGTGTGACCTTTCGGATTATCTGTGAGATTCCAGAACGTAGAATTTTGGTGTTAAGGGCTGTCTGTGGTTCCTGTTGTTAAGTAAGACCCGGGGAAGGCAGGCCGCCTGAGTTTCGTGCTGCCGGATCACCTGTGTGATCTCACCTGTTTGATCCAACACTGCTGGAATTCGCCCGGTGTGTGTGTAAGTGTAAGAGCGCGGTTTGCTCTCTTATTCAGTAGCTGTTCACACACGTTTATATCATATAATATAGGGTCGGAAGAAAACATGGTTGTTCTGAGAAGAGGGAGGTTGTTCCAGGTAGTGCTTTAAACGGTTTGTGTGTGCTAGATCATGCACATCCGCTCAATATAGCCGAGGCGGTGCGCTAACAGAATCAACCCACCGTGTACAACATAACACAGTCTGTCTCACCTTTGCGTGTGACACGGTGGTGACGGCATTTTACGACAATTGTAACCACCACACCGCAGGTGAAAATACGCCGAGCGATACGTTTTTTGTCACGTACGTGTACAAATCAAACTGACAAGAATCATTTAGTCTTTGTTTGGGCACACAAATATACGTGCGTTCAGGCCGACACCATTAATTGTTGTCGTAAGTGCGTATACTGCTCTTGCGTAAACACACCATTCACCCCAGCTAAGGCTCACTGTGTGTGTCGACGATTCAACAGCCGATCTGCCCATAAAATATTGAGAGCGTTCGTCAGAGATCATAAAGGTGTTTTGTCTAATTTCTTTAGACGTTGCGTGCCCCGATTTTGTTTGTGGGTGCAGCATGACACAAATCCTCTTGTCTGATCTTGTTTACATTCCGTAGGCATGATCCACGTACTTGCATCGTAGCGGATTTTCGTTTGAGAACGTATCCAGGAACACATATCCTTCTTTTCACTCTGTCTTCTTACAAAGATAATGCGACGATAATACAGAGTTAAGTGGGTTAGCAAATACGCCGCTGTGTGACAGGAATAATAAGAATCCCCAAGCAGATCTTTCGGTGGCAGCAATACTGAGTATCGAATTGGCAAGACAGTATAAAATTGTCCAGGCTGTATCCATTTGCCTGCCTGGCGAAAAATATAGACACGAGTACAAAAAGGAAAGCCAAATAAAAACGCCTAAAATGAGCAGAAGCCTAAACCTCTGCGTCGAGAGTATGGTAAGAATACTAAAGTGGGAAACCGTACATATATAGCACGGGACTTATAGTTGCTGTGACGCAATGTTCCGCTCCATCGAACACGAACAGATCAAGGAGAACGACTTTCGCAAACAGACTACTATGATCCCCTCCCCACGGGTTCAAACGTGAAGTGGCGCAGGTGACAATATTCTTGGCTCTGCCTGAGACACATTAGTGACACTAACGCTATTTGTATAAAAACACGCCGTATTTTAGCCTCCGTAGCAGGCTTATAGAACTGTGGGTTTGGTGGTCTTCGGCTGTTTTCTGATCAGCCCATGTTCTAAAAACCGGGGTAATTCAACCAGGCCGGCTATGTTGTCTATATGCAATCAGAAAATAGCACATAAAAGCTCCCAAAGACCCTGAAGACCCCCAAAACCCCCAGTTTTTTGGCATGCTATGGAGGCTACCGTATTAGATGTCTATATACATATGTAGCTACTTATTTATTTATTTATTTATTTAGCTACTTGCTTTTCTATGTTGTCTACATACGGAGATTATAGGTCAATGAAGACAATTCGGTAAACACAGACAACAATTCCAACCCTGGTGGACGAATTTAGTCACCGTGTGTGTGTCTATCTTAATTAGCCAGGCAGAACCCCCGTTTTAAGTGATAATAACACCACATATTATTTGCTCGGATCGTTCTAGTGGATATAATGACATAATGAGTGCATTAGAAGCATGAGTCATTATTCGTTCAGTGCACGTGAATTTTTAGTGAGGGAATTTTTCGTGCCACGTCGCATGTACGATCTGTCTTAAGGAAGCCATTTTCTCCAATCTATGATGCTTTTGCTGCTAGTATGGAACATTTTACACATTTCCTGATATTCTCTACGGTTCCGTCCAAGACAGGGTTGTTTCGCCATTATTTCTTTATACGTCTGAACAACAACATTAATAATTTCACTGGTGTGAATGCTAAAGTAACAACATTAAGATGCGTAGCCAGGTCAGACAAAATAGGGCTCTTTCGTGTGCTATCACAGAGAAGCATTATTTTCTCGTTCTTCTGTACCATGATGTGCATGTCATGGTTCAGCATTATTTCTTTACACGTTTAAATACTAAACTTGCAACAGGATCAAAAAATAGGGGCTCTTCCGTATGCTATCACAGAGAGAAGCTTTAGTCTATATGTGTGTATAACGTTATACATATTTCTTGGCTTTCTTTTAAATATATACCATTGCTGCATGTCAGGGTTCAGCATTATTTCTTTCCACGTTTGAGGACTAAACTTGCCACAACATTAAGATTAATTCAGACAAAATAGGGGCTCAGTTATTTGCATATAAATCAATAGTTCCTGCTTATAAACCCGCCTTTCTCCTGCAAGTCTCTAGTGTCACAGACGAAAGCTAGTGGATGCTACCTGAAACGTCTGACCGTTTCCCAAATCATGTCCATGTTGCTTGTGTAACTGTTTTTTGCGTAAAATACTAGTAGGAGCTCTTCCGCGTGACAACGCTACCGTCAGCGCATCACAAGAGGGTACCTTTAAGGGTCCCACAAAATCTTTATCGATCGAGCTTCGCTGATCGCTGTATGATCTGTTCAGACGCGTGGCCGTGTCTTCAGATATCTCCCGTATTGTCAGGGCGGCCCCTCGCCTCTACCATAGCCTCTACCAGGCACCGCGGATCGCTGGAAAATTAGTAGAAATTGGCCCAAATAAAGGGAATACTATACCAAGTGGGTGGCAACATGTACCCACACTGGCCGGCCGACACCCCTGGTATAGTATTTCCTTTATTTTTGCCAATTTGGGGCACAGTTGGGGCATCATCACTAGGAAGCTTTAAACAACTCCTGCAATTAAATGTGCAAAAATTGAGGGTAACAAGTCGTTCGGTGTGATATAGCTAGCTGCCAATACACGTATTGTAATATCTCAAATATTTCCCATTATTTTGAATACAAGACAGCTTTAGATATTGTTGAGATAGCACACACTCGTGCGCTATAAGCTTAACGACTGCATCATGGATTGACAAAAAATACATAACGCAAATTCTTGTATATCTCCAACATTCCCCATTATTTTGAACATGGTGGCATTTAGATAACATACACCCGTGCGTTTTGTTGTTACGATAATACGATAAATGCATCCACAAACAAGCATTCTTATATCTGAAATGTTTGCCATTATTCTGAATATGACCTAAAATTGTAATACAATAAAAGCATGACGCACATTCTTTTATATCTCTTATATTTCCCATCATTTTGAATATGATGGAATTCAGATAGCCACACACTCGTGTGTTATAGTGTTATGATAAAAGCACAATACACGTATTCTAATATATCTCAAATATTTCCCATTATTTTGACTGATGGTATTTGGATAACATAACCGTGTGTGGTATTGTTACGATAAAAGCATAAACACAACCCCTTATATATCTCTACTATTTCCCATTATTTTGAATACGATGGAATTTAGATAGCATACACTCGTGTGTTTTATTGTTACGATAAAAGCTCAAATATTTCCCATTATTTTGAATGTAAGACAACTTTAGATGTTATTGAGATAACACCCTCTTGCGTTGTAAGCTTAACGATCGAAAAAAAACGACGAAATAAAAAAATGCATAACGCACATTCTTGTATATCTCTGATATTCCCCATTATTTTGGACATGATGGCATCAAGATAACGCACACACACACGCCCGAGCACTGTAAGCATTTTAACGACCGCAGAGCGGATTGAGAGATATCTAGCATGTCATCAGGCGCACAAACATCAGTTCTTCACAGCGGCTACCCTTTATTCACGTTAGTCTGATAATGAACCGCCGAGGTGCCATTATTAAAGGCATCCAGTGCAGTTTTTAGGGCTTGGAAACCCGATTTTTCAAAACCAACATTTTAGGCATGTATCTACACACTGAGTTGAAACCACACTATCCCAATGTATATTGACCCTCATGGAGCAAAAATCCCCAACATTCTAACGAAAAATGGTTACTGGAGGGACCCTTGGCTGATATTTAGGGTACCACCCAGAAAATAAAGGACTCATCTTGAGGCTTGTTTCTGCAGTTTTTGAAGCCCAAAGTATGAAATACTGACTCAAATGTGCTAATGTGAAGCAGCATGTGTCAATATCACAAAGATTGCCTTATTCAGAGTCATACTGCAGTATGGCTGCCCTGATGCTATTAAGGCCCCGCATAACTTATGGGGCGGTGCGGATGATGACGATACGATAGGATAGAACACGTCACAAAATGGCGACCACTAGGGGGTTCAAACTCTAATCATTTTGAGGTCTCATCAAGACCTACCCACCTACCAAGTATCAAAACAATCCATTTAAGCCTTCTCAAGTTATCGTGTCCACAGACGGATACACACACAGATACACGAACGCCTCTGAAAACATAACCTTCTTGGCGAAGGTAATTACTAGTATCACAATATAATGAGTTCTAAATATGTTACCTAACAGAATATTCTAACAGACACAGT